AAAAAAAAAAAAAAAGAAAAAGAAAGAAAAAGAAAGTAAAAAAAGAAAACAATGAATGAAAGAAAGCAAGTTTAAAGAAGAAGACCAGTGGCCACGCATAGTAGCACACACCTGCAATCCCAGCACTTTGGGAGGTTGAAGCAGGCAGATGACTTAAGCTCAGAAGTTCGAGACCAGCCTGGGCAACATGGCAAAATCCTGTCTCTACAAAATAATACAAAAATTAGCCAGACACAGCTACTCAGGGGGCTGAAGTGGCAGGATCACCTGAACCCAGTGAAGTTGAGGCTGCAGTGAGCCATGATCATGCCAACTGTATTCCAGCCTGGGTGACATAAATCAAGAAAAAAAAAAAAGAAGAAGAAGAAGAACAGGCACATCCCTTTAGCAAAATGGTACTAGTCTCACACTGAGCGTTGATCACTGCCCTTCAAGTCAGACATCACCCTAACCTTGTTATCATGGCTGGACTCCCTTTCTTCTGAGGTCATGTCTGTAAATCTTGGCATCCAAGGTGCTTTTGCTCCATGTGTCAGCTACTAGCAAAGGTATTTTTCCTGACAACTAGCGAGTAACACTGAAGGAAACAAATGAAATTTTAAACTATTAACTGCAATGAGTTCTTCTCTGGAAGGACGTGGCACTACCTGGAAATCAAAGGGACATGCTTTTCATGTGTTTGCCCCTAAGACAAGAAATCTGGTGGAAATGGAATCCATACATGGGGTTTATTTACACCCAACTTAATCTGTGATACTTCCTGTGCTAGAAGATTCTCGCCACATAGCCGGTGCTGAGGGAGCCCTCTGGGGCAGGCAGACCCTGGAGAGCCCCACTCAGCCCAGCCTGAAGTAGTGGCTGTGCACCCCTCACCTTTCATCTTGGTTGTGTAAAACCCAACAGCCGCTCCATGTCTCCACATGATTTTGGCTTGCTCCTTCACGGAGTGAGGTAGAAAAAACATGTCATCGTCATCCAGATTTCTCTCCAATCTTCCAAAAATAATGACGTTTAGAATGAAAAGCACAATCCTTTCCCCAAATGACTGAACCTTTGAAGAAAGAAAAAGAACAACAACAATCAAGTAAGACCAGAGAGGAAAATCAGATGCAATAAATTCTGCGCTTGGATGTGACCCACATGTCGGGGCCAGGTGTGAGCTCCTCCATCGCAGATTCCTTTCGTGCTCAAAGGGCCAACATGGGAATCACGGCCACTCACAGAGGCTTCCATATCACTGGCCTTTCACAGCATGCGGCCTCCAGGAGTGGGGAACGATGCCAGAGGCGGCCCCTGGGTCCCTAGGGCCACAGACCAGGAATGTGAGACCACAAAGCACAATCCATCACACAGCAACAAAACAGGAAACAGGAAATTAAACCAGGCAAGCCAGAGCAACCCATTTCAACTGACTGGCTAGTTGTGTCCTAAAATAAACCCAATCTGCCATTTTCATGATGGCAGGCCCCAGAATTCTGGCCCTCAGAAGGAGAGTAAATAATGTGGGAGATCAACTGCTACACCAAAAGCAAGCGATTTTCTTTTTTTTTTTTTTTTTTTTGAGACGGAGTTTCACTCATGTT